ACACACACACACACACACACACTCAGATTAAACAACATATCTGAAGTAGCTCTATCGCTCTCTTCATCAAAGCCTCTCTCTCTCTCTCTCTCTCATGTTTTATCCATTTCTCTCCCTCTCTCTCGCTCCTTCTCATCTCTCCATCTCTTCATGCTAGAAAATGTCTGGAATTAATCTGAGAGGATTAGTAAATTAAGAGGCACCATCTGGGCGGAGGCCAACTTTGACTGAGGCTCGTACTTCGTTTATAAAATATATAAAATAAAAGAATCACGCAGCGACACTGTGAGAGCTCATTTGCATACAGAGAGAATGAATTCTGCATTGGCAGCTTTGCTTTGAGATGCAAAACCACGGGTGTGAACTTTTACAAGTGGGAGACAAAAGCGTGTCAGAGACGAAGGCCACTTACATAACGGAGGATCATTTACGACACACTGTGGAGGGTTATGTAAGATATCAGGCTGCTGCTGTCGTACGTCACTCCCTCGTGTTCTCTTTCATTAAATCACAGGAGAAATACGATTCAGGTTAGTCTGAAGCTAAACATCAGGTGAGAAGGTTCCTCGGACAGTTCGGACTTCTGGACCAATCACAGGAGGTAGAGACATCATTGAACAGTAGAAGAAGAGGAAGCAGCTGCGGTCTTCACCTCCGACGGTATAATGTTTGAACCACGAGGACGTTCATGTGGTGCATTTGAACTAGTGTGGAGTACTGTAGTACTTTAGAGTACTCTAGAGTACCGCAGAGTACTGCAGTATTGTGGAGTACTGTGTTTGTGCAAAGGACATTTGTGATCAGAGTCAAGTACAGGTAGACGACGCCCACGTAGGTGATGAGGACAGGACGTACGCATGTGAGACAAGATTCTGTCGTCCCTAAATTACGACGTGGAAGTAAAAGGAACAGATCACATGAAACAAAGTCATTTTGGTTCAGTCTGAAGCTCGGTGTGAACGAACCCTTCGTTTGTTTTGTTCTTGTTGATTGAACCGAAACCTGGGAGAGAAAATAACATCACACGAATGATAAAAGATAAAAAATGTAGAATTCCCCTTTGGTTTGTTTTTAAAAACACAGGAAGTAGGACACAGAGAAAGAGAAGATGACGTACTTAACATCTGAAACAGATGCACCTCTGCATGTGACTCGATCTACATCAACGTGGATCCTCTGCATATTTTTATTTTACATGTGATGAAGCTGCACATTTTGAACCTTCAGGGTCTCTGTGTCTGTAAATCTCTTTCTTACATTTGAAAGATGATAACTTAAACTTGTGTTTTATTACTGCAACTGAAGGATGATCTAAGGTTTAAAGATTCAACAAACTCATAAGCTGCAGATGTAATGTCAAGGTTTCACTTTTCTCAGTTCAGCCTCTGCTGAGTTCGTCTCTGGATTCCAGCTGTCACAGAAATAAACTTCAAGTTGTGTGTTTGAAACTGCGCGACGCACTCCGGAGCCTGGGAGAGCCGCCTGTGGGTCCTCGGCTCTTTGTAGACGAGCTTAGCAGCTTTTAGAATAATCACGAAATCAAGAGTTCAAGGTGAAAGTAAGAGATTTGACACAGTCAGGAAAACATCAGAGTTCACTGGAAGTGTTATCTCCAGACCTGGTGGTGGGTTCACGTGTCTCTACGTGTACAACAACTCACCGAGGAACGCAGACGGTGATACGGTGCCATTGCTGCGGGAAACCATGACGCTGATGCCGGTCTCCACAAACGGTACGGAAAACTCCACGACCTCCGACCTCTCTTCGTTGATGGTGAGCGAGCCGATGGCCATGTCGGCCCTGTTGGACACCACCTGGAAAACAGGACGTCTGACGTTAGAACGACTCAAGTAGCTTAAAGCAGAAATCAAACAAGACAAAGCAGTTATTGAGAAGTCTGGAGTCAGACGCCTTCGACAAAACATCGTCTAAACACGGAGCTGTGTTGGAAAAGAAAAATCCAGACGTTTACAAAGGGAAAAGAAAATCCTTCGCAGACCGTGTTGGTCCTCAGAGCGGCGCCGGGCAGCTGTAAATGAGGCCCTGGTGGTCAGAGGGTGAAGGAGCCCGGTGGTGTTTCACCTGGCAGGAAACAGAGGTTGCTTGACTGTAGCCGAGGGCCCCTGGAGGTCAGAGGAGCTGGCTCCTGACCAGGAGTTCATTAATCTGAGTCCTGGCCTGGTCCCAGACGTCTGTGAGAGACAAAGGGCTCTTCGCCACTGAGACGCCGCGCACCAGCCTCTGAAAGTCACCATCCTCTAAAGTACAGGAACATCGTGGCGTCTCCGTGCTGCACAGGTCCCGCCTGTCAGTCAAAGAGCGCATCCCTTGGAGTCCTGATGCGTTTGTTGGAGCCTTTGAATTGAGACACAGCTTTCCTGTTAACTGTGTCGCTCACTGCGTCTGGACGAGCATCAACAGCAGCAGTCTCGAGTCACTTTTCACATAATCTCTCGACCATCATGGATCAGACGTCCCCGTCTTTACAGAGCAGAGTTTGTCCTTGCAGACAAAACAGATTAAAAGGAAAACAGTGGAAAAGCAGCTTTAGAGGTCAAGGACGTTAAGAACATGGCAGAAACAGTAGTGAGTATATTATCTGCGTTTTCTCTGTATTAGTTTTATTTTTTATATTCCATTTTATCTCTAATTGTATTTTAAACTTTCACACGTTCTCTTGTCAACCTCTTTTTGATTATCGTATCTTTTATCTGTACTGGAGATGAATCACAGGGATCAACTTCTGAAATCTAAATATAGATATTTAAGTTGTGAGAGTTTCTTATTCTGGTGCATCACCATGAAATGACATCATAATTCAATTACATAACATAATTAAATACAAGTAAATGTTCCCCGGTGATGGATGACTGACCCAAGTGTCGAGTCTTTGAATATCACATAATTATTCTTACCCTAATGAATCATGGGACCAAACCATAATGTAATCATAGAATTAATAGGAATAAATGGCTGCTGTAAGGTGGGGGGGGTGTTGTGGGAGAAAACAGATCCGTCAAACTTCTCTGGATAAGAAGTGATAAACTCGACAGTTGATAATTTGTCTCTCGAGACTTAAGAGAGTAAGTTTGATCCACCTCTCGTGTGACGTGATGCGTTTCCTCAGATGATAATTCTTTTCCCAACACCTTGTCCCCGCTAACGCAGATGTTTTTCAAAACAAACGTTTCCCTCTGTGTTTCTCGTACACACACAAACAGCGTTTTAAGATTTTCAAGAATACTTTTAAAGTGCAGAGAAACTCTTGTATCTGTGTGAACGTGTAAAACATGATGTCACAGTTTACTTGCAAACTGTTGGAACTACAACAAACTATTTTTCTGGTTTCTCCGCTACATCTAATTACAAGTTAAATTCATTCACAGGCATCTGCATCGCCCTCTGGTATTTCACGTTTATCGAGAATGTATCGCCACCTACTGGCCGAGCATGCTTGTTGGAGGATGTGTAGCTGGAGGAGGAGAGTATCTACGGTGGACGACACCTGTGACACTCAGAGTGAGCGTCATCATGGCGGTGCAGACTTCGTGTTGGGAAAATGTGAATGGTTCAGGAAATGACGAAGGACAAAGGTTAAATCTGTTGTGCAGGTTTTCAATGGACACACGAGGACACAGATGAAGTCTGAGGGAGGTGGACTCACCGAGGAAACAAAAGAGTCCGACACCAAGAGAAGAAACAGCTAACTGTGGAAATGGTTTAAATAAAGAAAATCACTGTCGCAGGTAATGAAACAGGAAACAGCCAAGGACAAGACGTCAGTCTTCACAGAGACTCGGTCGCCCCAGTGAGCACGTGCTCGTCTGCTGCCGTAATTAAGCAGCGTAATGAGTCACTGACAAGCAGAAGGCAGCTGGGGGGAGAGAGAGAGACAGGGACAGAGATACAGAGAGATACAGACAGAGAGAGGGAGGGAGAGAGAGAGACACAGACAGAGACGGAGAGAGACAAAGAGAGAGAGAGAGCACAATTTTTTTCTGAGCTCTATCTGAGACAGAAACCAGAAAATATCATCAGGACTCTCAGCAGACAGTGAAACTGTCAGTGATCGGTTGATGTTAACATGTTCGAACACACACACACACAGACACACACACACATACACACACATTATTTCACACAGTGCATGTGACCCTGTTGATCCTAAAGCCGGATTTATAAAACACAAATCTAAATGTGCAGCTTCTCTTTATCTTTTCAAGACGTGAGAAGCAGAAAACGTCTCCACTGTAAAAGTCTGAAACTGAAACTGGACGTAAAAAGACATAAGTTTAGGACCACACACACACACACACACACACACACACACACACACACACACACACACACACACACACACACATACACACACACATACAGTATGCTCTGATGGCTTTGATGGCTCTGATGGCTTTGATGGCTCTGATTGGCTCTGATGGCTCTGCTTAAAAGGCTTTGCTTAAAAGGCTTTAATGTTGAACATTATATATACATGAGACCGCAGCTTCTTACTCACATCATTTCCAACTGGTCAGCGTGTTGTTAACCATTGTGAGTAGGAAAAGACTTCAACCAGCAACAAACAGCTAAGATTGCTCCTGATTCAAACTGATTGTCATGGCCAACAACGGAGGAACCACCGAACATGGCAAAGTTCACTACAACTGCAAGGATTGCCGGACATTTCAACGAGATGTCAAATAYCTTGAACATCTGTTGGACAAGGAGAGGGCCCGTGGTCGCAAACAAGGACAGTTGAGACTCACTCTTTGCGAGGCGCTAGATGAGGCCAATGCAAAGTTGGCCAAACGGCAACCC